AAGTCCCTGGAGTCTATGCTATCGGTGATGTCATTCCCGGCCCAATGCTGGCACACAAGGCAGAAGAAGATGGTGTTGCTTGTGTGGAGTTCATAGCAGGAAAAGAGGGCCACGTGGACTATGACATGGTCCCCGGTGTTGTTTACACTCACCCTGAGGTGGCATATGTGGGGAAAACAGAGGAACAAGTGAAGGCACTAGGAGTTGATTATCGTGTTGGGAAGTTCCCTTTTATGGCCAACAGTAGGGCGAAAGCAATAGACGACGCCGAGGGGATTGTCAAGATCATTGCTGAGAAGGAGACCGACAAGATATTGGGGGTCCACATCATGTCACCTAATGCAGGTGAGCTGATTCACGAGGCGGTTCTGGCTTTGCAGTACGGGGCATCAAGTGAGGACATTGCACGCACATGTCATGCCCACCCAACCATGAGTGAAGCTCTTAAAGAAGCTGCAATGGCCACTTATGATAAGCCCATTCACATTTAGATAAGTGATGTTTTATGTTCTTGGTTTGATGTCATATGAGAGTTGAAATGACTTCCTGCACAGGTTTTTGTTTTTGGTTTTGAATTATGCATCATCACCCAAGTAGATCAAGTGGCTAAACGGTATTTTACCACTTCGTTTGGGATTATAGTGCCTGATGTTAAAGGCTTCTTTGTTTACATTAAGTATACCCCTATTCGATTGATACAAATAAATTAAACTATTGCTGAGCAGGTTTGCGGGATGTATTCCATTCTAATTAATGACATGGTCATAATTTACGGCTTAACGCTATAATTCATTTCACTCAATTATCTTACATTATGTGGGTTGTTAAAATTAATATCTTAAAATACATATTATACTTTAAGTACGATAGAATAGGCAAAATTCAATTTAAGTTTGTCTAATAGTTTAAACTATTACTGAGCAGGTTTGCGGGATGTGTGGACTCCTGTGGAGTAGTGTTTGATACTATGATAGTCAAAATCTTAGAAATTTAAAGATATCGGAGACTCGGAGTTAAGTTAGGATATTTTCAGTCCCAGACCAGACCAGACTTCTGTAATTATAAAATACACAGAGATTAGACGTTTACCAGACCAGACCAATTCAGACCAGATCAGACCAGCAAACTTCGTTGGTAATACTAAATTTCGACTCAATGATTTGAGTGAGATCACTTTCAATTCAACTTGGTAGGATAAAAGTGAGTTTTTCAATTTTATAAATATTTTCGGTTTGATATATCATGCATTCAAAAAATGGTACGGCGTACTTGACAGTGATGAACTCATGAACTATTGAATTGAAACAAGTCTATCGCTATATGAGTTGTTGCATTATTTGATTAATAATTCACACATGTGATGCTATTTAGATAATCTTTCAACATTCCATAATAATAATGGATATAGGGTGCAAACAAAATGAAATTGAATTCCCTATTTATATTTTTCTATGAATTTTGCTTGGGGTACACAATTTGTGTACACCCTTGGCACCCCATATAAATACTCCCTATTTTTACCATCATTTACCCCCAAATAATTCTCCCCTCTCACAACCCTCCCTCCCTCCCCTGCGCAGAAGTCACGCCTCCAAAAACTCGGAAGCACCGATTCGAGCAAACAACCGAAGAGAAGAGTGAGACATCCTTCATCTTCTCCGTTGGAACTCTTCTTCAATGGAGCTAAATGGGAATGATACATCCGAGTGGGTTGATGGATTACTCTTGGATAACATGATTTTTGGAGAGGTAGGTGATGAAGGTGGAGATGATGAACGTACGCCAGTTTCCGGTGAACTGGATGCGAGGTCGAGGGACGAAGATGAACAAGGTCCAGAGGTGGAAGGCTTGAGTATGTGTTGTTGTCTTGGGTTTGTTTTCTTGATTTTCTTGATTTTGTTTTCTTGATTTTTTGGTGTTTTTGGGATATGAAAAGGGGTTGTCTGTCTATCAGAGTAGTTATAAGTGCAGTGTCTGTCTACTGAAATAGGTTTGTTGTTTGACCCATATGTATAATGTCTGTCTGACAGACAATTTATTTTGTTTGTCTACTTAAAAATAACGTCTGTATGGACATGCAAGTATAGTTACAATAGTTTTATGTAGTATGTTTTGATAAAAAAATGTAGTTGCTATGTGAAAGTGTGTATAAGTTTTGGACATATGGTTGTATTTGTGAATGTACACAAGAATGTTATAGAAAAAAATTGCATACTATTGTCTGTCTGGACAGACAAAATGTTGTGAGTTGTAAATTTTTATGAACATGCATTTTTTTTTGTAATAACAGATGAAGAGGAAGAAAAGAGTAGTAATAAAGACCCTGAAGTTGGTATGGAGTTTCCTAGTAAAGACGCAGTTTATGATTTCTACAAGGCTTATGGTAGAAGAGTGGGGTTTCCCGTTAGACAACGAAGTTCAAGTAAAGACAAATCCGGCAACATCATTGCGATTGTCTTAGAGTGTGGCCGTGCTGGAATTAGGGCTAGCCGATCACAAAATGTTTTGAAGCCTCAACCTTTAATGCAAGTTGGTTGCCTTGCAAGAATAAGAGCACGTCCAAATTATGCCGGAGGATGGGTAATTTCAAAGTTATGTTTAGATCATAATCATGATATGAGTCCTACGAAGGCAAGGCTATTCCGGTGTAATAGAAAGTTGACACCGCACATGGTGAGAAACCTTGACATTAATGATGTTGCGGGAATACCGATTTATAAGAGTTTCAACTCCGCCGTTGTGGAAGCCGGTGGATATGAAGAACTTCCCTTTATTGAAAAGGATTGTAGGAACTACATAGATAAGATGCGACAACTAAGATTAGGAAATGGTGACGCAATGGCAATTCAAGACTTCTTTTGTAGGATGCAAGCACAATGCCCCGGTTTCTTCTTCATGATTGATTTGGATGAGGAGTCAAGGTTACGGAACGTGTTTTGGGCGGACAATCGATGTCGATATGCCTACAAGGACTTTGGCGATGTCATAACTTTTGACACAACATATCTTACAAATCGATACGATATGCCATTTGCCCCATTTGTTGGAGTTAATCACCATGGTCAATCAATCTTGCTTGGTTGTGGCCTAATCTCGAGTGAAGATACTCAAACGTTTGTGTGGCTTTTCAGAGCTTGGCTTGAATGTATGAACGGATGTGCCCCGGACGGAATTATTACGGACCAAGATCGAGCCATGCAAAACGCCATTAAAATCGTTTTTCCTCATACGCGACACCGGTGGTGTCTATGGCACATAATGAAGAAGCTACCGGAAAAGATGGGAGGTTTTACCGATAAAGATGATATTATGTCCGCAATACACGACGTAGTATACGACTCACAAACCCCATCTGCATTTGAAGTGGGTTGGAAAGAGATTGTAGAAAGGTATTCAATGCTAATCTTAGTTGAAAACCGACCAAATATTGATAGCTAACAGACTAAAGTTGTCTGTGACAGACAATTGCTGTCTGGAGTGAAGTAATACTTTCTGTCTCACAGACAATAGTTGTCTGTCACAGACATTAGGGTCTGGGACAATATAATTTATCATGCTTAACTAACACACATAACTTCTTTGTGGCAGACATTTAATGTTTGAAACACGCTAATACTTTGGTTATAACATAGATTCCTATGATGTCACAGTTATTCACTCCAAGATGATGATTGGCTTGAGGTGATGTACAATGAACGTCAACGGTGGGTACCTTGTTACCTTAAACCCACATTTTGGGCGGGTATGTCCACCACACAAAGAAGTGAGAGCATGAACGCATTCTTTGATGGTTTCGTGCACTCCAAAACAAGTCTCAAACTATTTGTGGAGCAATACGGTCGGGCTTTGAGACGTAAGGCAGAAAACGAGTTTCATGCAGACACGAAATCATTTACAAAAATGATTCCGTGTGTTAGTATATTTGAAATGGAGAAACAAGTACAAGGACTATACACACTTGCAAAGTTTAAGGAATTCCAAAAAGAAGTAGTTGGCAAGCTTTATTGTGACATAATTGAATGTCAAGATGGACAAAAGTTTCATGTCAAAGAAGTTAAACGAATTAATGGGTTTGCCAAGGTTACTAACTACGTAGTCGAATATGACGACACTTTGAGTGAAGGTCAATGCAGCTGTCATTTATTCGAATTTAGAGGCATTGTTTGTAAACATATGATTACGGTCCTAGTGCGTGACAACGTTGACACCATCTTGCCTGACCGATACATAATGCAAAGATGGAGACGGGATTTGAAGAGAGCATACACACGAGTCAAAATAAATTATGACGGGTGGATCACTACTGTGGAACAACAACGATTTGACAAGTTGTGTATGAAGTTTGAAGCTCTTGCGAATGTCATTGCCGATGACGAGGAAAAATATGAAATGGTTATGCAATGGATGGAAGGGCAATTGAATGAATGTACCGCATCAAAGGGTAATTCAAGTATATGTGGTTCCATGACACAAATACCTCAAATATGCACAAGTGTCCATGCCGATCATCCGAATAAAATTCTGGATCCAAAAATATCAAAACGCAAGGGTGCACCAAGAAAAAATCGCATAAAGGGTCCACTTGAAAAAGGAAATAAGAAACAAAAGGTGATTGTGTACTTACCTTTTACTTGCATGTCAAAACAATACTTATTTTGTTTTTCTTTTGCAGACGAAGACAAAATCAAAACAATTGAGCAAGGAGGGTTCTACAGTTGACATCAGTGGTGGATCACACCAAATTCCTCAAACTCCCGTATTTATGGAATGTATGAATGATTATGGGTTGGACTTAAACCTTAGTTTGATGTAGTTTATCATGTACTCTTTTTTGTGCTTTGAATCTTATTGCCTCGTATAAACGTAATGTCAATGATAACGGGGTAACTGAAAACTGAAGTTTGTTATGAATCATCAATGTGGCGTTGTTTCAAATAATAGACAGACAATAAATAGATGTACACAGACAAAACACATAACCAGACAGACATTTTGTGTTGTGCAAATCACATACAATACACGATAACGCTGAAATTATAACCTCACAGACAAAACAAAATATTCTCATACAAACAAAAAATCCACATTGTACAAACTTCGACATATTTCCCCAAAATACCCCAACCATTTTTCATTGTTTCCAAGTTCAATAGATACACAAAATCAATACTTGTTCGAACTACAACTTCAAATAAAAATGATTTCTACAACACTCTACGCATCTTCCTTCTTCAAGCGCCAAAGCCGAATACCATACTCAAGTCTTTTGTTCGACATGTTGCCATAGTCGCAATCAGGAAGCAATGATTTCCCTTGGAGTAGCTGCTCTGCAAAAGCTAGGACCATCACGCCACATTCACCCGACCTGTAAACAGACAAAATTATCCAACACAGAGAGTTACAACACTTACACAGACAATAAATGTTATGCATATTAATATTAAATTTCATACGCTTCTTTTTGTTGTGGCACACCATCCACAGCTACTGCTTTCCACGGTTGCAAATCACTGTCCTTCGTACAAAAACCAATGGCACGAAGTAGGTATGGCAGCCGCTCACACAAGTCCTTAGCATAAAATGGAGTCCTAGAAGTCTTAAGCGAGTCGTATACTCTAACCAGTCTGCTCCGAAACACAACTTCCGCCAAGATCCAGTGCTTGTTTTCAATATTTAAGGGAAACAAAACCTGCCAAGAATTAACGTTTCATCAAAAATGCTAGGTGTTCTATCGAGACAGACAAAACAGGTGCGAAATAATAATAGACAGACGTTTAAATCACTTAGACAGACAATACCTTCAAACAACTTTTCCAGTCCAGCTTTTTCAGGTATTTATCTCCACTCCAATGTGTGTCGTTGCCTATATCTTTCTTAAGGATTTTATGCTACACACATAACAAAAAAAAATGTAAGGCTACTAAAAACAACATAACACGGGGAAAAAAAGGTGCATACCACAACGTAAGGGCTGATCAAAGTCACCGTATGCGCACAGATGCTTTTATTTAGCAGGTACGTTAATGCATGAAGGTGCTTCAAACATAACAAACAGCGTTAAAAAAATTCTCAAAAAACATTAACTCAAAAGGTCTAGGTGTGTACAATGATCTCACCGTGCTCGACATCCAGTGGTCAGGAGATACTAGGACTCTGAAAAAACTCCTGCTCACTTCAAGCAGTTCATTGACACGTAGCATGACACTTGAAGGGGAAACACTGTCATCACCTTCAACCCAATTCTTAAAATCAGTCCATTCATCTACTTGACTGAGATTATCCTTTGCTTTGTTCACGCCTTTCAGCCGTTTTGGGTTAGGATCGGTGAAAGGGCTAAGCATGAACTTAGAGGCGAACTTTTTCCTTTTCATCCCCACATCACTCGCCTCAGCCTCCAAGTCCCCTTTAGCGGCAGCTTGCCACTCATCCACCACGTCATCCCAATATGCCTTATCAGAAGATACAGAGTCATGATTCTCGGAATTATTTTCATTATCCACCTGCATTTTATGTTAAATAATATTTAGGAAAATAACGGCCCAAATACAGACAGACAATTAATATACCTTAGACAAACAAATAAAAAGGAAAGACAGACAATACATATCATTTAGGAAAGAGGAAATAAACTGGGAAACACAAACTTACTTCATGCACGTCACCAATTTGGCCCTTCTGCCCAATATCATCAGTACATGCTTCAAACATGTCAACACCTTCAACGTGAGCATGGTGACCCCCCTCGGCAACATGTGCAATTTCTTCATTCTTCTCATGTTCAACTTCAGCTTTATGACGCTCATCAATACGCTGCTGGTTTTAATGATAAAGGATAGACAAACAATTTATGAGAAAAAAATAAGAAAACATGAAAGGTAGAAAGAACAGACACACAATTCAGCGATGTTTGGAACGGGGAAACATGTTCTATAATTGAAAACATATGAAATCGTACTCCCTCTTGCTTGTCATGTTCAGCTACAATGTCATCAGAAAGAACAGAAGCATTCAAATCAGATGCTTTTGCATTTTCCACCTACATTTAATTGTAAAGGACGTAGAGACAGACGAATAATATATAAGACAGACAAATAAAAAGGAAAGACAGACATTCAGAATAAAACTTACTTCCACATGCTTCTCAATTTCAGCTAGAGCAGCAGGAATCTCATCAGAAGGTACAGAAGCATTGAAATCAGATTCATTTGCTTTTTCCACCTACATTTAATTGTAAAGGACATACAGACAGACGAATAATATATAAGACAGACAAATAAAAAGGAAAGACAGACATTCAGAATAAAACTTACTTCCACATGCTTCTCAATTTCAGCTAGAGCTGCAGGAATCTCATCAGAAGGTACAGAAGCATTGAAATCAGATTCATTTGCATTTTCCACCTACATTTAATTGTAAAGGACATACAGACAGACAAATAATATATCAGACAGACAAAAATAAAGGAAAGATAGACATTCAGAAAAGCATTGAAAGGGGAAACATGTTCTATTGTTGGAAACACAATAAAACTTACTTCCACATGATCCTCCTCAACAACTGCAACTTCATCATGCTTTTGCTCTTCATCTTCATCAGCTTGATGCTTGGCATCTTCATCTTCATCATGCTTCTCCTCAGTTACACTCCCAACAACCAATCTATCTTCCATTACTTTCAGCCGCGCCTCCAAAGACACCACTTGCGCCCGTAGCTTTTTCATTTCAGCCATCATCTTGGATTTGAAGCCATCATCATCTTCACCATCGTCTTCCTCATCTTCCTCCTGCACGTACAAGCTATAGTTATTTACACACTTTGAAGCAAAATTTTATATTTTAAAACACACAAATACATTACATCGTAATGATCCTTGAAAATCATTTCATTTAGCGTTTGCAAATGAAAGAACCCCGTAGCCTTCCAATTGAGCAAGGGGACGTCATGATTGCCAACACGTTCAGCACATCTCTGTCCTAGCTCTGGCAGACTCTCGTAAGCCCAAACCTGAAAAACAACAAAAGAAAATTAAACAAAAACAATGTGGAAGAATAAGTTGTCTGTCTAGAGATAAGAAATGTCTGTAATAAAGGATGAAGTGTCTGTGGAAGAAAAAAAACTGTTTGTGTTTGTTGCAAACATGACAATACAAACACACAATCAAATATAAGGTGTACATTACCTGTAGGACGAGAGGAAGGCCGTGCAATGTGAACTTTGCATTTTTGTATCGAGGATTGGCTTTCTTGTTCTCCTTGAACCTCTCTCCCTGCCCAACCATAAGAGTCTTGATCTGAGAAACCATTAGATTGTAGGACACTTTTGCCCAAGGGTACGCTTTAAATCTGTCCAAGTCATCCGCCAATTTCAGAAACTGGGAATTCATATTTGTTTTCTTGTTCCTCGATAGCAAAACACATTGCACATAGAAAGCACATGCAAGCTTGAGAGGATCACCGCGAGGTCCTGCCTTTTTCGGCTTCATTGACTGCATCTTTGCCGTCAATCTCCCAAAGCTGATCTCCAAGGCACCACCGAAGAACTTATCTAGTAACGTCCCATTGCCTTCATCTAAATCGGGGATGACCGGAGGTTGACCAATAGAACGGAGCCCAGTTATGCGCTCAAAATCATTATAGGTAAACTTTAACAACTTGTCGTTGACGCAAAACCATAGTTCATCTTTAGGCTGGTCACACACTAGTCTCAACAAGAGGCTATGGACAATTTGGGCTGAGAACTGAAGCTCGGGCACATCAAGAAGATGGCCCCACGGCATCTTCCGAAACTCATCAAGCTGCTTTTGAGTCAAACCCGATTTCACCAACTTTGCAGCATCTTTATATTCTGAACACTGTGATATTTGAGCGGGGAAGTGGTCACGGACAGGAATTTGCAATTCAAGAGCCCTATGACATTTCCAAAAATGCACACAAAATAAGACAGACAACTCAATAAGAATGACAGACATCTACGTATCACAGCACAGACATTTACAAATTGTTCACAGACAGCTCACAACACAAGACAGACAAGGAAATATGAACGACAAACAAATGAAAACATCACAGACAATTATAAAGTTGTTACAGACAACTGAAAACAAATGACAGACAACTAAAAACACTACACAGACAATTCTAAGCAATTGACAGACAACTACAAAAAAAGACAGACACAGGAATATGAATGACAAACATCTATTTAAAACATCACACTCATGTATGGACTCCTTACAGACAATTCAGAACATGTCATAGACATCTCACAACACACTAACAACATCTCAGACAACTCTTAAATCACATCCTTAAAATTAGGTCTAGTTTAATTAAATTAAATCAATTATGGTAAGGTGAGTACTGGTTAGCAACATAAATTAAATCACATCCTTAAAATATTACCTTTTAGCAAGATTGGTTAAACTTGTTCGCACCATGGCTTCAAAGTTATCTTCTTTTTTCGTTGAACTTGGACTAGCGACTTGTAGAGTTGCAGCACAGCAGGGCGTCTACGAACTTGGACCAGCGCCTTGAGGAACGGCCTTCAGTTGGATGGGTTTGATTGTCCGTCTACAAACTTGGACCAACGATGATTTTTGGAGCAGCGCCTCGAGGATGCCTTCGTTTCTCCAAAGCAGAGCAGAGCCGAGGAACTGTGTCGCTGGATGGGTTCGGATTTCCGGCGTCGCAGGATGGGTTCAGTTTTCCGGCGTCGCTGATGGTTTGCTTGTCCCGCGAAGATGGCGGTCCGAATAGTGGAGTGGGTGCGGGAGTGTGGAGCGGGAATTGGGATGGATGGAAGGCAAAGGAAATTAGGGTAAAATTTTGAATTGGGAAGGAAAAGAAGTGAGGTAAAAAAATATGGGAGTATTTATATGAGGTGCCAAGGGTGTACACAAATTGTGTACCCCAAGCAAAATTCTTTTTCTATTATGGAAATGATTTATTGTGTACAAAAAGATTTTTCCATACATGGTGGTGTGCACTGATGGAGTCAGATTGTCAGAAGAACAAATAATTAGAGATGTCAAAATTTAGTCATTAATAGTGACAAAATGTCGAATCATTTTGAAACATTATTATTGAATTGATAATTGTAGGTGAGATATTACCCCGTATTTTGTAATTTGAAGGAGACAAAAAATTGTCGATTTATTATATATATATATATATATATAGAGGAATGATCCTGTCCAGCCGGAGGGACAGGATCTTCCGTCCGGCCGCCGCCGTTTGGGGCGGTTCCCGGTGGAGTTTTTTTATGAAATTTTTATGGAATGTTCCTCATCAAGTCTAGTTTATCCACAAAAAATTTCAGCTAAAAATTCGATCGGGAAGACAGTCAAATAATTTCTTGAAGATAACTGCTCCAACTTAAACATATAAAACACAGTTATGTTTCAAAAAATTATTTGACTGCCTTCCCGATCGAATTTTTAGCTGAAATTTTTTGTGGATAAACTAGACTTGATGAGGAACATTCCATAAAAATTTCATCAAAAAACTCCACCGGGAACCGCCCCAAACGGCGGCGGCCGGACGGAGGATCCTGTCCATCCGGCTGGACAGGATCTTTTCCGTATATATATATATATATATATATATATATATATATATATATAATATTTTATAAACTTAAATATATACATAACATTCACCTCAATGAATGCGGTAAAGTCGTGCATTAATGTCGTACAGTAACGACAATATAAAGTGCAGTAATTTTAGTTGGACAAAATTAGTGCAAAATGCACATATTTTAGACTATGGTATTTTGATCATTAAACATTTTAATATGAACGATTTTTTTTTGGAGTTCTGGTCATACCCTAGTTATATTTAGAGAAACTCAACGAGTTTTAGTCATATCCTAGGAAGTCCCTCTTATTGTTTCATTTCTAATTTTCTTTAAGAAGAAAATTTTAATTTATTTTCTAATTTTCACTTTGTAGATTAACTTTATTTTTCAAACTTTCAATACACATATGTATACATATACACCGTAAAAAATAATAAATATATGTGTATACTAAGTATTTATTCTCTCCGTCTCTTAGAATTCTTCATACTTGCCATTTTCGGATGTCCCAAAAATTTATTCTCATTTCCCTTTTTGAAAAGTTTTGAGTGGTTAACATTCATTTACATTTTCTTACTCAATCAAAATCATACATTTTCACTTTAATTATTTTCACTTTCTTAAATTCCGATCCAAGTCAAAATGAAAAGAATTTTATGTGATGGAGAGAGTATTTGACACCACAAGCCAACATGTCGCTCTGTCCCTCTCTTTGATCAATTAAGAAAAATATTTCGCAAATGAAAACATATTAATTAATTTAATATGATAAGTAAATAGTTCTTCATATGCATCAATGCAAGCCGTGTACATTTTATATAGTCTCTTTTTATACGACTATCTCAAAGGGAAAATGAGATATCATTTAGAAACATTATGAAAAGGAAATATGAACATAAATATACTTATTATTTTGATATCATCCGAGGGAGTAGCATACTAATTATTTTGACGTAAAGTAAGGACATCATCGATAATTATAGAGACCAATCATTATGATTATGAATATTTATGGTATCTGACTGATTTGATTTGAGAAACGGGTAAACTGACTTAAATATATTATTAAAAAAGAATTAAGTACCCATTAATTAGAAGATTACAGGTTGATCCCATTTTTGCAGCTATAAATAGCAAATAAACTAGCTACTAAAAATCAAGAACAGCAAAAGATGGCGTCTTCTTCCCACAAACTCTCAATCTTCTTTTCTTTCTTTGTAGCTCTAATCTCCATCACAACCATTAATGGAGATCTCATAGATACTGTCTGTGCTAAGACTCAACGTCCTCCTTTCTGCCAGCAAACCCTAAGAGCTGACCCTCGTTCCAAGACAGCTGACCTTAAAGGGTTAGGGTTCATCTCCATTGATATCACAACAAAGCAGGCCAATTCAGGGAAGACCCTAGTCCAGTCCCTTCTGAATGGGGCCGTTGATCAGAAAGTAAAGTCAGCACTCTCTTCTTGCTTGGAGAACTATGGGGACTCCATTGATACTCTTGGGGAGTGCTCAGATGCTTTGAAGTCTGGAGATTATGGAGGTTTAAATATCAAAGCTTCTTCTGCATTGGATAGCTTTGGGACTTGTGATGATGGGTTCTCTGATTTCTCTAAGCCTGAGCCTCCTCAGCTGAAAGATGCTAGTTCTAATTTGCAAGGAATTTGTGATATTATTTTGGTTATTAGCAATCTTTTGAAGGCATAGAGAGTGATTATATTAATTAATAGTGATTGCTTTGTTTTCCACTATATTATGTCAAGTTTTAGGAAGTGGGTGTAGTTTTAGAAGGCAATAACGTTGTAGTGGTGCCACAATCAATAAATTTTGCATGCATGCGTAGCGGTTATAATTTAAAGAAATACGATCATAGAATAATACTCGGAAGATATCCGAATTATATTACATTGAATTAGTTTGAGATTATTGCTATTATTATACGTAGTATATAATTCCATTATATTGTCTCTATCGTGTTAGGAGTACGAGGTACGTAGTATACACTTTCGTTTGTAACATTCAATTCGCTTAAATTCAAAAAATTGAGACGCGAAGAACTTCGTAACAAAACAATATCTACACATTAAACTTTTATTGCTGTACGAAAATGAACTTGATCAGAAATATTCTCACAAAATCATAATAAAGATTACCATTATAACTAAAATATACTATGGATGTTTTCTTTTGGACTGTTTTCAGTCCCAGACCAGACCAGACCAGACTTAAACAGACCAGACCAGACCAGACCAGACCAGACTTAAACAGACCAGACCAGACCAGACTTCCGTAGTTATAAAATACACAGAGACCAGACGTTTACCAGACCAGACCAGACTAGTTCAGACCAGACCAGACCAGACTTAAACAGACCAGACCAGACCAGACTTAAACAGACCAGACCAGACCAGACCAGACCAGACCAGCAAATTTCAGTCCAAAAGAAAACATCCTATATCCGCCCCGATTAAAAAGGTTATGACATCCCTATTTTGGACATGTTTTAAATTAGCGATAATGTCTTTCAATTAATATATTTGAGTAATTTGACCACAAAAATTTATATACACAAATCTATCATAAAATCGAAAATGATCCTACGTACTTGAAAGTGATGAGATATTGAAATGCGTCTATCGCTATAAGAGTTTTTGCATTATTTGTGATAGTGATACTGTTTAGATCATCTTTCAACACTCCATAAACGAATGCCATAGAATTCACGGGCGGAGCCAGGGGACTGTACTAGACTTGACCGGTACAAAGAATATTTTTGAAAAAAAATCTACACTAAATTTTTTACACTAAAAATATAGATATTTTTAAATTTTGGCCTAGGCGAGGGATGGTCCTCCCCTAGCTCCGCCCCTGCCATAGATAAATGAACACACAAAAACACAAACTTGTCTTTTAAAAAAAACACACAAACTCGTGTTTCTTCATCCTTACTCATGGAAATGAAGTCCAATCCCTATTTATAATTTCTATCTTGGCAATGATTTATTGAGTTTTTTTCCTAAATAATGTTTATTAAAAAATTATTTACATATTTAATGTTGAGTTAAAAATATATACCAAACTACTATCAAAAGCAAACCATAGTTAATGAGAATCGCCATCCCATTTGGCGACTCACATTTAAAGAATACCAGGAGCAACCGAGCTACGGAAGAGAGAAAGTTAGTGGGGCCTAGGATATAAAAAACACTTTATTCCTTTAAAGTGTTACTCCCTCCGTCCCCTTTTAAATGTCCCATTTTATCATATTGGGATGTCCCTATTTAAATGTCTCATACCTTATTTGGTAAAGTTTATGTGGCTCAAAATCATTCCTACTTTATTCTTACTTTATCAATTAATATCAACCACACAAACCCACTTTTCTTAAAACCCGTGCCACCCTCCTCCGGGGCATTTAAAAGGGGACGGAGTAGTATAACTTTTTCAATTTTGCTCCATTTTTTATAAAACATATATCAAAATTCATAACTTTTTATGATCTTTCATATGACACCAATATTGCATATGTAAAAAAAATAGAAAAATGAAGCTTATCTAACAACCTTGCATTTTAGGGAAAAACACTTGAACAAAATATTCTCTCCGTATTTAAAGGATCGCTATATTAGATTTTGACACAATATTTAAGGGGAAAATAGTAATGGTAATTGAATAGTGTTGAAAAAGTAGGAGAGAAAATGAAAAAGTAGGAAAAAGAAGATAAAAATTAAAATAAAAAAGTAAGGATAATTGAGTATTTTTATACTCTGTATGTAGAAAACACTTATCAAAAGAGAAAGTGTTGTAAGTTTTTGAATACATCCCAAAATATAAAGAGCCTGTTTGGAGCCACTGTTTTTCGTCTTATCAGGCTTATCGGCCAATTTTTTCACCAAACGTGTAATTTTTGCTTTCACACGCTGAATTGTGTAATAAGCAGAAAAAGTAAGTTTGGAGTTACTTTTCTGGTTGTATCAGCTGAAGTTACTGTAGATGACCATTTAAGCTATTTTACATATAATTTTTCTTTATTTTACTAATAAAATGTATTTAAAAATAATTTCTTATTAAATCAGTAAAAGCAGTCAAGGCAGCCACTTCAGCAGAATCAGCCAAATCAGCTGATTTTCGTGCTACCAAACATGCTCTAAGTGGTTTTCCTAAAACATGAGGTTGTTAGATAAGCTTAATTTTTTTAAATTTTTTACATATGCAATATTAGTGTCATATGAAAGATCATAAAAAATTATGAATTTTGATATATGTTTTATAAAAAATGGAGCAAAAATGAAAAAGTTATAACATTTTAAAGGAATAAAGTGTTTTTTTATAACCTAGGCCTCACTAACTATTCTCTCTTTCTGTTGCTTCTTCCGGTCCTTAAACGTGAGTGGCCAAACGAAATGGCGATTCTTGTTAACTCTGGTTTGGCTTTGGCAGTACTTTGGTATATAATTTTAACTCAACACTAAATATGTAATTAAATTTTTATTCAACACTATTCAAGAAAAAAACTCTGATTTTTTATTGTGTACGATTTTTTTCCCATATATAATTGCGCCACTGTAGGAGTCATAAAGATATATTAGGGTGTTTTTATTTGGACTGAAACTTTCTAATCTAATCTTGTTTGGTCTGAATTACTGATCTAGTAAACGTTAGGTCTATGTGTAATTTATAACTACATAAGTTTGGTCTGGTCTAGGATTAAAACAGTCGAATTACTTCCAATTTTGAGACAATACTTGAGTTGATAATTTATATGTAGGTGAAATAAACGCTAATTTATATGAGACTTAGACGATTTTTCATTAAATTTATACATAATATATATATTAAACACTTCATGTTGCTAATAGCTACGTGACATTCAGAACCTATTTGATCCTATGTTAATTTTGTATTTGACACTAGTCTATTAAGGATGTTTTCTTTTGGACTGTTTTCAGTCCCAGACCAGACTTTCATAGTTATAAAATAACATAGACCAGACATTAACCAGACATTATCGCAATGGAAAACTTTGTTGAATAAGTAAATTTTATAAAGATGTTTTTACTTGGACTGAAATTTGTTAGTCGATCTGGTATGTTATGGTTTGTTTAAGTCTGGTTTGGCAGGTCTGAATTGGTCTGATATGATATGGTAAATGTATAGTCTCTGTGTATCTTATAACTTTGGAAGTCTGGTCTGGTTTGAACTGATCTATTCTGGTTTGAACCGGTCTGGTCTAGTCTGGTATGAGATTGAAAACAATCCAAGTAAAAACATCCTAAATGGGCATCGTTTCTATACATATTTTTGGTAGCACTTTTAAAACATTCAATATATATATATATATATATATATATATATATATGTATGTATGTATGTATGTATGTATGTATGTATGTATGTATGTATGTATGTATGTATGTATGTATGTATGTATGTATGTATGTATGTATGTATGTATGTATGTATGTATGTATGTATGTATGTATGTATGTATGTATGTATGTATGTATGTATGTATGTATGTATGTATGTATGTATGTATGTATGTATGTATGTATGTATGTATGTATGTATGCATGCATGCATGCATATAATAAATACTACATTCATCCCAAACTATTTTGCAAAGTCAATATTTTTTTCCACTAAATGTTAAAGTTAAATCCTCTTTATTGATAATTAAATCAATTTTAATTAATTAAAATTTATATATTCACAAACTATAATTTAATACTCCCTCTGTCCCTAAATAAAAGTACGTGTTTGACTTTTCTAGTCCGTAAATATCTATAAATATATACCTATAAAATCTATAATAAACTGACATTTGAATAATACTCAAATATTACAATTACAATGAAGCACATTAAATATTTTTTTGGGATAAAATAATATTAATTTTAAGTAATTAGTGGTCAAAGTTTAACGAGTTTGATGCAAAAAGTCAATTATGAACTTTTATTTAGGGACGAAGGTAGTATAATTAATATTCTAATTAAGTCAATTAAATGAAACTATTTGACCTAAAAAATCAAATTTGCAACTCAATTTGAGATGGGATGGGTATATATATATATATTTTAACTTTCCAGTGGTCTCAATTCATTATATTTAGCTCTATAAATAATTATTTCAAGATGATAACTAATTTTTTTTTCATATGCAAGGTTGGAAAAGTATGCGGTTTTGGTGTTGTAATACGAAGTAGTTGTTTACACTTTATTAATTAAAGAAAATGAACAGTTCTGTATTGTATCTTAAAAAAAGAAAATGATACAATTATTTAGGTAAATCAAGAAACATGCTTGCACACATACTTCATATATACTACGTACGTATATTTTTTTTTTTTTTTTTGAGGACATATATTTCGTATAAACTTAGCCCTTAATTAGGGATGATATATGATCGATCTGATGAGGGAGTAGTATACAAATTCTTTTGGCGTAAAATAAGGACATCATCAATTATCATAGATTATTCATAGGAATCATATAGACTAATTTTTTTGATTTGAGAATGTGAATGTTCAATTTAGTTATGTAACGCTCGAGAAAAATCCGAATAAATTAGAAACCGGTTAAGCAAGAATTAAGTACGCATTCATTGGAAGATGACTACATCACAGCCTGGAATTGGTTCCATTTTTGCAGCTATAAATAGAATATAAACTACCTACAAAACACAAAGAACCATCAAAAGATGACATCTTCTTCTCACAAACTCCCAATCATCTTTTCTTTCTTTCTCGCTCTCGTCTCCTTCACGACCGTTAATGGTGATCTCATAGACACCGTCTGCGCCAAGACTCTTCGTCCCGCTTCCTGCCAGCAAACCCTACGATCCGACCCTCGTTCCACGACCGCCGACCTCAAGGGGCTCGGGCTCGTCTCCGTCGACATTGCCACAAAGCAGGCCATTTCAGGAAAGGCCCTAGCTCAGGGCCTTCTGAATGTGAACTTTGACCAGAG